TTTATCAGTCGGCCGATTAAATCGGGTGATACTGGCCTATCACAGATATATAGGTATCGGCACATATATTCTCCAATATGCGCTGATATGAATACTTTTATTAAGAAGCAATGATGCAGTGGAAATGCTCGGGCCAAGTCAAGTTGTATAGGCAGCATGTTTCATTCAAGTTAAATATATATATATATATATATATATACATACATACTTGTTCTTATGTTTTGGTTATTTGTTTTTATATATTTTAATTTATTTTATTTAATTTCCGCTGAAGTTTACCATTTCAGTATTTTTGTCATTTTGAACAATAAAGTTTATTGTTAACTGTAAAATATCCTGCGTGTTCATACTGTATATATATATTTTGGGCAATATATCGATATCTGAATTTTTTTACTCCCTAATATCGGGGTCGGCATCGGCCCCAAAAATCCAATATCGGTCGGGCTCTAAAAATGACAACAATAAAATACTCAAAAACAAAATCTTCTAAGAAAAAGATGTCAAGATACACAGCTGCGTCTCCACGTTGTCTGTAAAATTGCCCCCCCATTAAGCAATACTGAAAAAAACTGGCCCACAGATGAAGCTAATTGCTGACCCCTGACATACACCATGAGCCTACAACATACCTACAACATAAGCTTTCAGCTCAGATAAATGTTTACATCCCACTGGTGCTCGCCGTTAAGTGTTCTGAAAGTAACCTCTAACCTTCCTGGCTTCCTGAGCAGTGTCCAACTGTGTCTCCCAGCAGGCAGTGCTGCAGGACTACTAGGATGACTGGGAAGACCCAGACCAGCAACGTGACCAACAAGAATGACCCGCGCTCCCTCAACTCCCGCGTATTTATCGGCAACCTCAACACAGCTGTGGTGACCAAGGCCGACATCGAGGCCATCTTCGCCAAATATGGGAAGATTGTGGGATGCTCGGTGCACAAGGGCTACGCCTTCGTTCAGTACGCCAGTGAGAGGAACGCCAGGGCAGCCGTGGCCGGAGAGAACGCTAGGGTCATCGCCGGACAATCACTAGGTAATGCTGATCAAATATTATGCATCATGTTCTGATTCATGCATTGTTAAGACATTACAGCCCACAAATTACAGTTCAAATAATAAGAACATAAGAGGCACCACACTGGAAACTACAGTGTACTGTCAGGGTAAAAGGGTTGAACGAAGGGCTGGACAGCCCACATATTCCAAACCAACACTATGATAAGGGAGCTTGCTGCGACATTTCCACTGTCTTCGCTTAAAAGTAACCATCATATATATATATATATATATATATAATCTTCTTATAATGATGATTATGGGACATAAAGGCTGAATCGGGTTTGATTCTTAGTTTAAAGCTAAATCCTAAAAGTACATTTACTCAAGCGCTGCACTGTACTGTACAGTCTTAAAGTACATGTTCTAAGGTACTTGAGTATTTCCACTTAATGCTACGTTATACTTCTGCTCAGCTCCCCTGCATTTATTTCTCAGCTGTGGTTACTGTTATAATCACATTACATTCAAAACATGATAAGATTAGGTAAGAGTAAAAAATGATCATTATTACAGATTTAGCTGCCCAGAGATATATTCAAATGAGCTCCACCTCAACATTTAAGGCCTGCTGACATTAATGCATCAATATTAATAAACCAGTAATAAAACAATAAAACACTCCATTATATATTAAACATTATACATAATTATTGCTTTTGGTTTTAACACAGATAAATACATGTGGTATTACTACTTTCATCCACCCTGACAAAAATATTATCATTATCTCTATTATAATTACTACATTTTATTATCATTGTTAAAACATGCACATAAAATATTTTCGTAGATAAAGTGATGTTCTTTATCTCATGCTTAGCCTGACAACAACAGAAATTATACCACAACTAATTAATTGAAATACCCAATACCCAGTAACAACACAGACTATCACTGTACATCACTGTACCCTGTAATTATTGAAAGAGTACCCAGTAATTAAGAAAATACTGTCCCTTATAAAAAAGTTTTTATCTCTTTATTCCTTTCCATTTTATCTTCTACCTATACCTTACATTTTTATCTATCTGTAATGCTGACACAATCATTTACGTGCTGTAAGCGTCAGCGCTAAGTGCTATAGTGTTATCGAGACACCTACATGTAACATCTACACAGGTAGATCGAAAGTGTAATATGATCATTGCAATAATAAAAACCTTTATCTATGATATTTTTCTAAACCTCATTACAAAACAAAGCACTGCATATAAAACACACAATTTACTGCAAAATCAATAAAACAAAACAAGAAATAAATATAAAAAATAAGACAAGAGGCATAAAACAAGGATCAATACCAATAATAAAAGATCATTTTATAAAGGCAATCCAATATTAAATGAGGTTTAAGATTGGAAATCTGATACAGATTTAGTTAGCCTGAGACCTTCAAGCATGTTATTTCAAGCTCTTGTTGTCAAATAGTCGACCTCTTGTTTCGAATCATAATTTCCTGTGAGACCTGAAGTTAACATCTGGCTTGTATTGTTTGTTGTCAAAACTTCTGTGACATATATTGTTGGCAAGGAAGTTTGATCAGTAAAACCTTAAAATAATTCTGAAACAGAGAGGTGTCGCCAGTGTGAAGATGCTCCGATAGAGAATTAATTTCTAGTAGTTAAACACAGCCAGGCTGCGGCGAGGACGCGAGGAGAGCTTGAACATAAAGATAAGACAGAGAAGACGAGGCGAAAGTGGGACGACAGACAGATAGCAACAAGACGGAAACATAAAGAGCTCAGTCCTCATGGACGTTCAGTGGATCCCTGTAAATCTTCCTTATATTACTTATTGATTAGTTCAGAGTCTCCTCCATAGAAAATAAAAGTCCTCCCCAAGCCCTGCTTTCTCATTAAATATGAATAAGAGCGCTGCAGGGTCACATCTGTAATTCCACCCTGCGTTTGCCCAGTTTCATGCATTTTTGGCTGTGAAATTACATATGGCAGTGCTAAAACTGCAAGGATGAGTTGTGTTCACAGTGATTTGCTGTATACTTACATGACTCAAGAACTATTATTGTATTAGTGTAGAAATTTATGACTGATACTAGTGGAAATGAGACAGGCCTGAGCCAACGGGTGTTTTTTTTTTTTTATTTTGGCAATGATTTCTACTGGTAATAATAACTGTGTACTCACAGAGTTAATTTCTGGAAACCTGGCAACATTAGTAAAAAATATAGACAAAATATATTAGCAATCATACAGGTTTTTAATAAACCTCCGAATAAACCAAACTTATATTGAAGAAAAATAAAGGCTGACAGTTAAATTGTTACCCAATCTGGCCGTTTTACCGACTGACCTCCTGGTTCCGTGGTTCAATTTTGACCCACAGTTTTTGCTGTAGTTTTTCTCAGATACTTTTCCTGTTCAATGAGGGATTACTACTCACATTTCAGTTGGGCTAACTTTAGAATTCTCCTCTGAATAAAGTGGTCTGAAAAAATCTAGCTGATCTGTTGGCTTTTTTAAAACCTTGTGAGGAGGAGGAGGAGGAGGAGGATGAACCTGGAATAACCTTCCTAAATAAAACTCAAAAGCACAAGCATGTAGAGATTTTTTAGTTTCTCTGGTGTAACATTTTTCACTTCTTCTGGCAACTAAATGTCTTTTTTGATATTTCTCCAGAAATGTCAGAGTGAGACAATAGTAGATGATCTTTGTTTACAACCTACTGGAGCCTCTGACTGCTTGTTTTTTTTTTTACCTGTCAGACTTTGTTTACTGTTGCCTTGCTTCCAGATATCAGCATTTACTTTGAGTATGATGTTATCATAAGAAATGGTAACAATGGCTGAGATTATTAAAGCAAGACCCGTGTTGTAATAAATTGGAACTCTTCTTTAAAGGAACAGTTACTTTTTTGCAAGGAGTTAGATGAGACAATCGATACCACTCGTATGTCTGTACGCTAAATTTGATCCAGGATGTGATTAGATTAGTTTAGCATACAGACAGAAAGTTTTGGATAGCTGCAGCACACAACTCCCATTAAAACCACAACAGTACCATAAACCATAAACCTAACAAAACAAGATGTAACATGTTAATTAGTGAGCTTCAAAGGTGCGGGGCAGATTTTAAATGTTGGAGAAAGCCAGGCTAGCTGTTTCCCCCTGTCTTTGTGCTAAGCTAAGCTTACTGGCTGCTGGCTCTAGTTTGATAATAAACCTACAGAGATGAGAGTCTTCTCATCTCATACTGAAGAAAGAAAGCATATTTCCCGCTATGTTAGACCTGCTCCTTTAACTGTCACTTTTTAAAGAGGCATTAAAGGTCTTTACCCCAGTGTAAACAAAGTGCTTAGTTATAAATGACAGCCAGAAATAAGAATTAGAGTTGGACCCCTGAAAAAAAAAAAGCCGTTTGACATTGAGGCTGCTCATTCATATGACCTAATTGCTAAGAAGACAAACGAATCACATTTATAAAACACACCACAGATATTCACGCTGTTGTCAACACATGTTCACATGTACCATCTGTTTTGTCCTGTCTGCATCATTGCATCCACTTAAAGAAGCTCATCTCATTGTTATGCACACTGACAAACCAGAACACAGTTACATATCCTAAAAACACAACAGCTACACAGTTGTATTTTTTTTTCCAAAGAGAAATGAAGGTTGTATTAAGGGCATGTAGCTGAGAAGATCTCAGGTAAACACGTGTCTCATGAACAAAGGCAAAGCTAAAATCAAATAGGGCACGGTTTGCAAAGTGAAGTATTCCTTTGCATAGCGTGGCATATTGCAGCTCCACAGGCTGCTCAGTGTCCCTGTAAACACTGAGCATCTGTGGACACATAATAAATTCAATATATTAACAATGCACTGTAAATGTCAGAGGTATACCATAGGTGTCTACAGTAACGTCTCTGCTTTGGAAATGATCTTCTCTGCTTTTATTCTGCTGCCACTGTGAAATTTAACCCTTATGTCTAATCTTTTAAACATGGACTTTATATTTGATTAGACTCTGGATCTCGTTGCCAGAGGTAGGAGCAGTCTGCACGAGATATGAATTCTTGATATCTTCTCATACACATTGCTCTTTTATTAAAATCCCCAGTGAGGAGCGACATGAAGGGCGATTGTGTAAAGGTATAACATGTGACAGGACGGTCATGAGGTCATATTCAAACCTGTAATGACCTGCGTATGCAGCGAGCACGCTTGAGTAGATTTAATAGCCGTGAGATACTGAAGCTCCAGCGATTACTTTACTCAACTTAATTCCTTTGGACGTGAATGCAGACACAATGACTTTAAGTAGTTCATGCAAATAAAAGTGACATTCAATCACACTGGTGGTTGGCCTGAGACAGCAGCTACTTAGATCTTAAAGAGGATGTGTGCTGGTGATGAAGAGCGCAGGGGTGAGTTTCATCCCCGTTTTACCAGCTCAGCATTTCTCCGCCTACTTTCTGCTTTTGTGGATAAAATTTGGACATAGATGTATTGATATCTTAAGGTTCATTTTTTAAATCGCTGCTTGGTTTGATCGTATCTGCTCTGCCATTATCTTGAGTTCATAATGTGTAAGAGCTTTCATGTGTGACTGCTGTCTGGTTTGGTCTTTGAGTGCCTCTCTGTGGTTGAAATACTTACTGCAGAACACTATAATAAATCCAAGGTGTTTTAAGGTTTTGCTTCGTGGTATTAGGTAGATAAAGCTGTTAGATTCTCTGTTAAATCCTTGATGGTGAGGTTTGAAAAATGTCTGGACATTTTGTTTCTATGTTTGAGACAGTTGTTGTTGGGAAAAGTGTCTGTATTTCACGTCACAGGTAACCATCTGTTTGCAGATCTACTTGTCAAAACCCCAATCTGAAAATCACCACACAAAACCATTTCTCAGAGACTGTTTTAGTTTAATTTACTTGTGCTCCATAGCATTAAAACAAGAGAGTAAGTAAGTAACGATGAAAAGTTACAATTGAGAAATGAAATCAATACAGAAATGA